TGTGTGGATTAACCAACAGATTTCCCCCGTGTGATAACGTCCTTAGTGGGGATTCGAACCCTGATCCCCCAGTGTCCTAGTCCAGCACTCAAACCACTACACCACAGTGGCTCTCTGGAGTTCCCCTTACCAGGAAGGATTTTAAAACGCTTCCTGTTCTTTGCCTGAGTAACAGTAGTGTTACTCAGTTCTCTCAGTAGATTGACTAGGAAAAGTGGTCTTCCATTCCTTTTGGATAATGGGACCCTGATCGTAGAAAAAACACACAACATGGCTGTAAAACAGTAATGACTGAATGTATATTTAGTTTGCTAATAATATTTAAAGTACAATCACAGTTGCTTGTACTCCAGAAGCTGGCAGCAGTCATGAAACAGGAACCCCCTTGAGACTAGAAATGTTATTCTTTCTTTTGCTAAGAGACTTCTGGTGGCATTTTTAACATACCAAGTGAATTAATCAGTACACTAGAGGATAATAAGATTAACCAATATAGATGCCCTAGATATTTACACTTGCTGCCATTTCATGTTAGTGCCATGTTTTAATCTTGCAGGAAGTGTGAACTTTTCCATCTAAAAGTTGCACTTCAGGGAAGAAACCTCTTAGCTTTTTTAAGCTTTTTTTTTAAGAGTAGATTTCTCTCTAGAACCATCATTTCTAGAAAAACATATGAAATCATAAGATAATTTTGGATGATTGTATGGTAATAGTCATATTATTTGGTTGTACCTTTATTCCAGACTTGACATGATCATATATTTTCCATTGGATTCTTAAGCTGCAGTTGAGCACAGATTTTGGGATGTTTCATATTTCTTATCAGATTGGCTGCTTTTTACTCAGTCACTGGTGTGCCACGGGATGCGTTGCTTCCTGAAATGAAACAGCAAATGGCATTCCTCCCACCAAAAAGCATGACCCATAGTAGTCAAAACTCAACATGAGCTTGGTTTTGTTTTTGTTTGTGGCAGCTAAAGCAGAAAATCCCACAAGCATCTTTTCCCCCTTCCATGCATTGAAAAAGAAATAATAATATATAAATAATACATATATAATGAATAATGTGCAGCCTTTTAATATCACCAAAAACTGGTTGCCAGCAGTGGCTTCCTCACTGCTTAATGGTAAGGCTGAACCTGCCCATTTAGAAGCAGGGGTTCTTGGGAGATGTTCTAGGCCCGTGTTGGTGAACCTGTTGCATGCGTGCCACTCTAGCATGCAAAGCCATATTATTATTATTATTATTATTATTATTATTATTATTATTATTATTGAGTATTTATATCCTGCATCTGAGTGGGTTCATGGCCATGGAGGCCTGGGGCGGGGAGGCACATGCAGCCAGCCCAGTTCCTTGCCGTGGACCAGAGGGTTGTTGTGAGTTGCATCGAGAAGCCCTGGCCCTTCATCCCAGAAGCCCTGCACTTTTGCGGGGAACCCCGTCCCCTGGCCAAACAGCCCTCTGGCTCCCAGGGCAGGAGCTTTCCCCAGATCCCGGTGACAGGGTTTCTCCCGGCGCATCTCAGGTGAGCGGGGCCTTGAGGTTGTTGTGTGTCTTCAAGCCCTTTCTGATTTAGGGGAACACTATCCTGGGGTTTCCTTGGCAAGGTTTCTTCAGAGGAGGTTTGCCATTGTCTTACTCTGACGTTGAAAGCATGTGACTTTCCCAAGGTCTCCAAGTGGGTTTCATAGGTTTTTCTTGGCAAAGTTTGTTCACAGGAGGTTTGCCATTGTCTTCCTTTGAGGTTGAGAGAGTGTGATTTTCCCAAAGTCTCCCAGTGGGTTCATGACATTTGTTCAGAGGGGATTTTTGCTGTTTCCTTCCTCTGAGGCTGAGAGAATGTGCCTTGGGTTTTCCTCCTGGAAGTCCCACCCCCAGAAAGCAGAAGTCTCACCCCCAGAAGTCCTGCCCCTGGAAAGCGGAAGTCCCGCTCCCAGAAGTCCCGCTTCCAGAAAGTGGAAGTCCCACCCCCAAAAGTCCCACCCTCTGCACCCGATGACACCCGGTGCGGGAATGCCACTGAGTTTGGACACTCGGTCTCTAAAATGTTTGCCATCACTGTTCTAGGCCCAGTGAAGGTGTCTAGGTGGTCCTCAACTCCTTCAGACATGTCTAGTCTTGAGCAGAAAAAGGAAGACAGAGAGAGAGAATATTACCTCTTTTAGTAACCACCAGAACCCACAATTCACCTTTTAAATAGGTCACAGTGTCCTTCTGCACTGCATAATATTAAAAAAAATGGACCTGCTTTTCAGAGCAGAAGGGGGCATCCAGCCAAGTTCAGGAATTTTAAGAGCATTTTTTGCAGTCTACCTCTGGAAGGTAACTGGAGCAGAGAATTGCCCTGAGATCCACTGTATTTGCCCATCATTACTATGGGGCTATGCAGACGGGTGGCTTTGGGCCGCCCCTACGAACGGCAAATTGAGGCTGGGGCAACCCCACGCCGTGGCCCCAATCTTTTCTTTTGCTGCCTCCCAAAGAGCGGCAAAATGCTGCTCCTTTTAGGGGCGGCAAAAGGCCTTTTAGGCGGCTCTTCTGCACTCTTTGATGCTGTGCGCCATACAAACGGGCGCGCAGTGTCAGAACGGCGTCAGGATGGGGTTGGGTCGGCTGGCGTGCGGCTGCCCCGCCCCAACTCCACCCCCAGGCTGGCCCTTTAGGCTGGTCTGCAACACCCCTAAAACTTACACTTGGCTGCCCAGTAAACTTGTTTGATAGACAGACTAATTGCTATAGATGTTAACTTACAGTTACCTTTCTGGGAGGTGGTACTATAAACAATCATGCTGAGTGTGATTTCACATGTTTACATTAAAGTCATCTAAATTTTCTAAAACCTCATTTGAAATGTCAAAAACCCTATTAACTAAACTGAGCTATATTTGAGCTTGGTATCTGATGAAAGTAAAGTGCCTTTAACAAATGTAGGAAGGTGAAGAATGGTTGAGTTTCTTATATTACAACCCCCAATTATAATCATTCTGTGAGGCTTGTAATGAGCATGCAGTTTCATAAAGTAAAGCAAGAGGTAGGTTATTCTAAGAAGTTTATGTTCCAAAGCATTCAAGAGAAGCAGCTAGCCTACTTCCCCCCCACCCCAAAAAACACACACATCAGTTGGCTTTTTGTTCACAAAATCCATATCAACTAATATTTGCATGGATATGCTGTCTTCCTCTGTTCAGAACCAAAGGGTGGTCTTGTTATATCACTCTAGTTTGTGGTTTTAAATCCCAGTTGGAGGAGAACAAATTAAGTTGGCTTGCATCCCTTCTCCATTTTCATTGAACAGGGCCCCCCATCAACCCCAGCACCAGCCAGTGTTTCATCTGTTCTGCATCCTTATCACTCTGGCTATTTTAAGTCCTAAATGCCCAGGAGAAAATCATTGCTCAGCTTCTTGATGTACAAACTCGATTAAAAAAAAAAAAAAAACTTACGCAAACACTCCCCCTCTCCTCCTGGTAACATGCACTTTACTTTGCTCTTAGTTGCCAAGGTCAAAAAAAGAGAGAAAGCTTATAAAACATTGATACATAGATGTTTCTTAAGAGTAAGTATGCATACTGTGGTTTTCACAGAGTGCAGGATGTAACTTATAAGGCACCATTTGTTCTGATCAACAACTCTATGATAGCTTCTAAATATACAGTGAAGAAATCAAGATAGATAGAATGGACATATTTGACTACTGGACCATCAATTTAAATTCTGAATTTAAAACCCTACTATTGACCTCTAAATGGTTTGGAACAAGAGGTAGTGTAGTAATTGGAGTGTTGGACTGGGACTTGGGAGATCCAGGTTCTCGTCCTCATTGAGCCATGAAGCTCATGTCACTCATTTTTGGACTGACTTACCTGACTTTTTTTGGAGACGTCTCATCCACAGAGTCACCATGAACTGGGGTCGACTTGGGGGCAGTTAACAACAACAACAAATCTAGTGGCAATTGCAATGAAGCAAGAAGAAGATGGTGCTGTTGCATTCATGGCCTTCTGTATGCTTCCTGTTGGATGGCCACTGTGAGAACAGAATGCTGAATTAGATAGACTTCCTATCTGGAATGTCTCTTTTTATGTTTGTATAGTAGCATATCTAACAACTGCCAAGCCTCTTTGATGATGTATTAACTAGGAGTGAAAATAATCAGATATAATACAGAACCATGGTACAGAGAGATGTGGGTCACTTCACATTACAGAACAAAAAGAACATACATTCCTGTGGTCCACAAGCTATGCACTATTAGAGTGTCTGTCAATGTTTCTGTCAATGATATATTCAGAGAAAGCTTTTCCTTGATCATCTGGTTATGGCCTTTGGTAGTGTGGTTATTGAACTAACCAACAGTTAAGGCAATTAACTTAGGTATATATGCCAGTGTTGCATAGTGGTTTGACTGTTGGACTGCAATTTTGGAGATCAGGGTTCGATTCCCTGCTTGGCCATGAAACCCAGACCTTGGGTAAGTTGCATGCTGTCAGCCTCAGGGGAAGGTAATGACAAACCCCCTCTGAACAAATCCTGCCAAGAAACCCCCATGATGGATTTGCCTTAGAGTTTGTTTTCCAAAATGGCGACTGCTACTCATTTGCACATGTGCAGTACTCTTGTGCATGCACGAGCGAGCCGCGGCCACCATTTTGGAAAACAAAATGGAGGCCGCAACTCATTTGCACATGCGCTGAGTACTGCGCATGCGCAAACGAGTCGCAGCCGCCATTTTGTTTTTCAAAATGGCAGCCGCGGCTCACTTGCGAATGCGCAGTACTCCGGAAGTACTGCGTGTGCGCATGCATGCCACCATCCCCCCACCACCATTGGCCTGCGGAAGACCAGGGGATCCAGGACCGGCCCCAGGTAAGGGGAACTTGCCGACCCCTGGTTTACATCAACAAGCACATATAGTTTTCCAAAAACAGTAATGGAGGAATAATGATGAAAAAAATGAAAAATGGTCAAAAATGTGTTTCTTGAGTGTCAAGACACTCTGTTGGGAATCCTGGATTAATGAGAATCTTTGCAGCTCGGGACTTAAATCTGTGCAAAATTTGCACTTAGGGTTCCGCCTCCTATTAGAAAATAGAAAGGGTATTTTCTGTACAGAAAATATTTCTTTTTATAATAAAATATTAAAAGCTTTTTTAAAAAATAGTATTTCTGAGTATTATTTTATTTGGAAACAATGCTGTTTCCGGTGTAGAAAATCCTGTTTTCTGCACAAAATCCATGTATAAATTTTGTAAAGAATAACTTTCCAACTATAGAATTTTATGCACATAAAATAGCATTTTCAGTACTGAAAACAGTATCTCTGTACACAAAATGCTATTGTTTCGCCCCCCCCCACCCAACCCCCGTACCTCTAATAGCAGTATCAGCATAAAGTTATTTAGCTCAGGCCTGTGATAGAAGGTTACTACCATCCCCAATAGCCATGTTGGTTGGAAATGTTGGGGGTCTGACACATTGAGGAAGGCTGGGTTCAGTTCTTCTTCTCATGTCATGGCCCAGTCCAGATTGGCCTCACTCACTACTGTTCCCCCCCCCCCCTTTAAAATAACAGATATTAGGAATTCTAGTTGCAGAATCCACATTGACTTTCAGACAGTAAGTAGCTTTAAGTTGACAGAAAAATTAGTAGCAGTCTGGGAAAAGCTGGTGCTTTTAAAAATTCTGATCAGAAGTGGGGAGCCTATGATCTACCCCAGTTGTTGTTAGTCTACAGTAGTCTCTGGCCATTGCCCATACTGATTGGGACTGAAGGCTATTGGGAGATCAACAGTAATCCCTCCTCCTGATACCGTTCAAGTTTTGATTCATGTTTTTGGCACTGGGCACATAGCACCTGCTAACAATTCTGATGAGAGAGAGACAAAATGAGTTATGTAGGTCACACTTGCTGACCCCTGGCTTATCAACAAATTACCCAACCCTGGCAAGTAACCTAAAGTGTGTTGACTCCAGAATAATGATAAAACAATTGTTTTCATGTTCATGTTGTGCATCCAGTTATCATATGTATAGCCATTATAGAAAACCACCTGTGCAATGTGTGTTGTCCTATGCCTGTTTAATCATGATAAATGTGATTGTTTTTAGTGGGGCTTTCTTCTAGGATTGTTTTAAATTCTGAATGCGCATAAGGGAACATTTACATTTCACAGCAAGGAAATGTTTTCTAGTTATTCAGTATGTTTACTGTGCCATGTTTACATTAGAATTATTGTCTTCTGTATTTTTATAATAAAGATTAATCATGGTGTGTTCTTCATGCCTCCCCAGTGTCTCCTGTGGAGAGAGGGACACTGTTTTGGTGCTATTTCTCCCTCATTTTCCTCCCAAACATTTTAATGGACTATTTCACTTGATGAGTAAATTGTTTAAGATAAAGTATTCACTGTATATATTGTCGGGCCTTTAATCTACCTAGTTGATTTATAAGCTTCTTTAGGATCTGGCGTTGGGAAGAAAATTTCCACTGTTGCAGAATACCTTTGGCTATTTAGTCCTGATGTGTAGGGTGAGATTCTGCCAACATATTCCTCCTGCAATATGGTTGTCAGGCCTTTCCCCAGCATGGCTTTTCTCCCCATCTTCTTGCAAGATGTCAGGTTCTTTTGGCTGAATTATGAGAGATGCTGCTCTGTGTTTGGAGTTCAGTTTTCTGAACTCCAATAAAATAAAAATAAAAGAGGTTTTACTACATGATTACTATAATTATTTGTCACCAAGCAACTTCTATAGCCAAAATTAACTTCTGCAGCTGTTCTTACTATTGGTTCCGCTAGCTGTGCAGTCATGCAGGTTTTATAGTGTTCTGGGGGAAGAATTACAATGTCACCATTCCTTAGCCACTCATGTGTTAAACTGGCACTGGTACAGAGCCCTACCAGCTTGCAGGTTATCAAAATACAAAACAAATATTGGCAGATTCAGTGACCGTAAGTTTCAGTTCTCAGCCTTACTGTATCTTGGAACTGGCCACTATGAGTAGCAGATAATTAGATCAGGTGAGGGTTATTGATCCACTATTTGGAGGCTGTACAGATCTTATATCCCTGTACATTTTTGTACTAGCTAGATAAGATGCAACATAATGGTGAGATGATCCCCATAAGAGTACTGCTCTGTTCAGCCAACCTGGAATAGGCCAGATTTTGGGGTTGAGGGATCAAGAGAAGTTCTGGAAAAAGAATACCTTTCTTCTTAACATCCTTGGAATCCATGTCTCTGAGACTGCAAGACCTTGATGATGGGGGGATGAGGGACAGGGGACGGGGGACAGGACTTGAAGGTCTCTCATTCATAGGATTGCCGAAGGTCAAAATAAGCACCATGAACTTACCTTTTTACGCATGAACCACACAGCTACTTTTGTTTTTTATTTACAATGCTACAATTCACTGCTCTTATTACTGGTTCCCAATAGAGGAAGATTTTCCATCATTCCAGGAGGGACTGTAGCACAATGTGGGATCTATCTCCCTCCAGCCACTAAAGAGTTGTCCACACGGGCCAAATAAAACATCCTCTCCTCCCCTCCGTCATCTCAGCAAGCAGTCTGGACAAACCAGAATCCAATCCAGTGGCATCACTAGGGAGTGCGGGGGCAGGGGGGTATAAACCATACTTGGTGACACCCCAGAGAGGAGTATGCACCCGGTGGGGTGGTACATGCAGGGAAGGGGCTGGTGTAGCAGTGTTACATCCCTTTCTCGCTTGCCCAGTAGCCATGCAAGACCCAAATTGGCCCTCCAGAGGCTACAGCACTGCCCCCAAGCAGCAGGTGATGCTGGGGTGGGGGAGGGGTTTTTGGCATGGCTGCTTGGAGAAGCAGCTGTGATGGATCCCAAATGGTCCTCCAAAGGCCACAGCACTGCCCCCTGGGTGCCTTTTCTTTGGGGCTGGCATGGCTACTTGGAGGATCAGCTGCTCAGCAACACCCCCTGGCAGTAGTATTGCCAGGCGGCAGCAGACTGGCTGGGGAGCAGGCAAGCAAGGCATAGGGAGTTCAGTTCAATTCATCTTTATTATGGTCATAGACCAGTAAGGCGTAGAGAGGGAGGGAGGGCAGTGGGGCAATCCACTCCTCTTGCTGCCCCCCTGCACTGGATGCCACTGGTCCAATCCCTGGTTCTGGGACAATGCAGGGACGGTTCATCACCGAACCCTTAAAATGGTTTCAAAATAAACCAGCTTTTGCTCCAGATCTTCTAGGAAAATCCAGAGCCCTCCACTGCAACACTGTGGAGCTGTTTACAATGCATTCTGCTGTGCTGCCCAGCGCCACTGGTGTGAGTTGTTTGCTCCGAGGTCAGGACAACAAACCCAGCCATATGATCAATGCTAGCTGCCTTGTTCTGCCCTTAGAGCAAGAGACTCACACCCGTGGCGTTGGCATAGTGGGACACAGAATCATAGAATCATGGAGTTGGAAGAGACCTCAAGGGCCATCAGGTCCAACCCCCTGCCATGCAGGAACTCACAGTCACTCCTGATAGATGGCCATCCAGCCTCTGTTCAAAGACCTCCAAAGAAGAATCCACCACCACACTCCAAGGGAGTCTGTTCCACTGTCGAATAGCTCTTACTGTCATTTCTTTCTAATGTTTAAGTGGAATCTCTTTTCCTGTAGTTTGCATCCATTGCTACATGTCCAGAAAACAAGTTTGCTCCATCCTCAATATGACATTCTTTCAAATATTTAAACAGGGTTATCACATCACCTCTTGACCTTCTTTTCTCCAGGCTAAATATAGCCAACTTCTTTCTTTCAGTTAGGGGCTTTGCAGACCGACCCAAAGGGCCCGCCTGGGGGTGGAGTTGGGGCAGGGCAGCCGCACGCTGGCTGCCCAGACGCCACCCTGACGCTGTCCTGATGCTGCGCGCCCATTTGCACGGCACGCGGTGTCAGGACACCTTCCTGCCAGTGTGTAGACACGCTGGGCCAAAAGGGCGCAGAAGAGTTGTGGTGCCAGCTCTTAGGGCGGCCTTTTGCCACCCCTAAAAGAAGCAATATTTTGCCACTCTTTTGGGGGCAGCAAAAGGGAGGATCGGGACTGCGGTGTGGGGTTGCTGCGGCCCCGATCAGCCACGGGGTTGCTGCGGCCCTTAGTCTCAAAGGTGCTACAAGATCACAAGATTTTTCTACATACTGATTCT